CGTGAACAAACCTCCACAGTGCCACAGTCACACTCCTCTCCAGGCTCTAAGAAGGCATTTCCACATACTGGGCCTCCATAGATGCGATCGGTGGAAGGAATATTAAGCAGACAAGCAGGATTGATCTCCTCCAGGAACCTGCTGAGCTGCTGTTGACTGCAGCTGCTGAACTGCTTGGGATACACGAGGCTATGGAAAGAGAAATTAAATATAAAAATCAATAGAAATTTTTTTTATTGAAGATATTGGGTGTAAAGCGAAACTAGTTTTACCTGCTTAACTTTTCATTTACTTAAAAAAATCACTATGTGGACTTGAATTATCACATAAAATCCCATTTAAAAAAGTTAAGGGGACATGAATTATTTTGCTAGGCTTGTTTTTAGCTTACCCAACACTTTCAGCCATGATGCAGCCTTTCTTTGATGCCAGGGAGCCGCAGACACAGTTCTCTGTGTCATGGGACAAACCTAGATTGTGACCCATCTCATGTGCAATGGTGGAGGCAACTCCAATTGAATTGGTGTTGTGATCCTGTGAAGACATATGTAGACATATGACATATATGTAGCACTGATACCATAGAATTCTTTATCATAGTCACTTAATTTTCCTTTTTTTTTTTTTTTACAAAATTAATTCTTTTTCAGCATGTTATAATTTGTTACCTCATTGACAGCTCCAGAGTTCGAAGTGCACATTGCATTAGTGTTAGCTAATCCGACAGTGGAGCCCTCAAAGTCTACACCCCTGATCGAAGAAGCGGGGAGGGGTGATATTTAGGAAAACAATCTTGCAGTGTGAACATCAGTTCTTTTCAGGAGAATTTTAAATTCATAGAATCTTACGTGATGAACTGTGCGTTGTCGTGTTTGGTCCTTGGCAGGAGGTGCCGCCGACGCCACTCAAGAAATCGACCAAGAGTGACCTCGGGGTTGGTGCTGACCTCGATCTCATCTTTGTATGACCACACATGCAGGCCGACCAACATCACCCGAACACCCACGGGGCGATACAACTGCAACAACAGAGTAGCATTTACAGTGATTCACAAATCACTGTGAGTTTTACCAAATGTGAACGTGTGTCCAAACACTTAATGCAACGAGTTGCAGAAGTAACAAAAAGTCGCTGCTGAGGGGATATGTGTGAATGTTTTCAACTTGGGTGAGAAGACTCACAGTTAATGGTAGTGAGAGAACTTTTTATGTTTTAGTTACTAATTAATAAAACACGAGAACATTTTCCTGCACGTTCTCCAAAACTAAAAGTGGAGATACATGAAAGACCGACACTTTTTATCTCTCTGTCTGAAGCTACAGTGAAACAAACATACCTTGTCCACGTGGTTTGCTACTTCAAACACTCTGGCCTCCACTGCCTTTGTGCTACCAAACTTCTTGTACTAGAAGAAAAATTCAAACACGTTTTGCAAACAATTATCTCCTTCCATATTTTCACCAATAGAAATCTTTAATATTGAGTCAAAGAATAAAATTAATCTAACCTCTGTATTGTCCACCACTACTGCCAGTTCCACAGTCCTGGGTTTGCCTCTATGGTCTTTGGTTTGGGCTCTGCTTTTCTAAGTGACGTAAAACATAGAAGACATGAACAAAGCAATGATAATTGTAATAATGTGTGCATTTAATTGCTTATTTAACTTTTATTTTCTCCATATTTATAGTTAATAAAACAACAGACTTTTGGGGCAAATGCAGAAAAAGCCAAAAGTTATTTATTTATTTTTGGTTAGATTTCTGTAGGTAGGATAATTTTTTGGGTTTCAGATCATTTTATCTGCATGTGTTTTATTGAATGTTACTTGTAATATTTTTTTATGTGCTTGAAAGATGTACAAAGCCTGAAAACTGTCTGCACCATGAATTATTAGCTTTGTAAATACACATAATCTGTGAATGTGTTTGTGCCGTGTCCTCACCAGACTGCCAAGCTGGAATAGTCCAGACGGACGAGCTCCATGGTCATAGAAAGTGGTTGTGTTTCCATGGGAACAGGAGCTCCTCTTCCTCCTCAGGTGTTTGTAGTTGTAAACGGCATGCAGATCGTCGTCACTGTGAGCTCCGTCCTGCTGTCCCGTCGTCTCGCCAGGCAGGGGTTCAATGAGGTACATCTGGTCTTGGAGAGCAATGAACCCTCTGTAGATGAGAGCAAGAAGGATGAAGTACTGTAAATCTAACTCGACATGACTGAAATAATGCATTGTGATGTGACAGCCGTTGCTTAGATTTTTTTCTACAGGCCTAATGAGATCCCAGAAAAAGCACTTTGTCTGTCTTTACAGAGCACAGAGTGCTGCAGACTTGGCTGTCCCCCACCTGTTGTGCTGCCGATAAGCTCGCTAATGGAAGGCTATTATTTTTTCTCTTCTCCATTCAGAAAAGACCAACTCGGTTGTTTGCTAATAATTTTGGTGTTTGTATAAGAGTTAAGGTGTAGAAACTGAAGGAATCCCACTCATCACATTAGTTAAAGTATTTATGACAAAACCAAAACATTAGAAGCTTTTTTTCAAGCTTTAAAAAAAAGTTTTATATTTATAGCTCTAATTTTTTATTGTTTTTATTGTGTGCCCATATCGAGTTTCCATTTGCATAAAAAATAAGAAAATGGGGGGAACAACATTAATGTATTAAACAAACGAATGAGTTAATCTCATATGGAGACATGTAAAATTAAGCATCGTCATGTCGCAGGATGTCTTGGGAGTCCATTCTTCACGTTGAATTGGACACACTGACCAATGTGCCACAGTTGCTCAGTGAAATCTGCCCTTCCTTAAGCAGACATCTGGTGCTGCTAAGACCTAAAAACAACATTTTACTTACTTCATTCCTGAGCACAACCCAATGCTGGCAGAGGAGTCCTCCACTCCTACAACATGCCCATGGTAGTAGCAGTGGACCTAAAAATTAATTGAGTTCCTATTAATGTTGAAAAATTATTGAATTTTTAAAAATAAACTCTGCTCAAACTTTTATTCCACGTAAATGAGGCATAGCATTGGGTAAGACAGGAAATGTACAAATATGTCAATTCCTTTTCTTAAAATATACCTCTTCCTCACAATGCGGAACTTTGATGATGAGAAACGTACACGTCATCCGATTTCTTTGTAATAATAAAGATGATTGTGATAGAAGGTTTGGGATGTACAGACCAGTGTGGCCTAGAATTGTAAGAACAGGATCTGCCTTTGAGAAAAAGGCTTTCTCTGATATGTAGCAGAGACAAGCTGTGACAGAATTCAGTGCCAGGCCAAACTCTCTCTCTCTCTCTTTCTGTAAAGTGTTTCATAATTTTCTGCTGCTTATTAAGCCAAGCCAAAATAAGCACTTTGTCCTATAAAGTGCTTATAGAACTACTTGCATTTTACCAAATAAAATGCAAATAGCAAACAGGAAATGGACAAACCTCATGGTTGGAGGTAGTTGAAACTTGGGTCCCCTGATCAGAATTGTAGGTCACAGTAAAACTTTTCCCAACAAGATCCCTGAAAAGAAGGATATAAATATAAAAATTAATAAATTAATAATAATAGATTATTAATAAAAAATAAAACAATAAAAAAATAAAACAAGAATAACTATGTTACACTTAGAAAGATTTAAAGTATTCTTACTTGTTCTTCTCCAGGTGCAGAGTGTGGTTGTTCCCAGCAATACTAACAGAGTATTGAACTACATCTGGGTATTTCTTCATAAAATCACACAAAGTGAAGAAACAGTGTGTTTAGCGCAAGATGAGAACTTTTTAAAAGGTAGTTGTTGGGTGGGATGTAAAGTTTGTTACCTTGTGTGCAGCAGCAACATCGTTTGGAAGAGGCATGCTCTGCAACCTCTGGGGTGTCGCTGTTTGGTACTTTATCACATGAGGCAAATTCTTCACATTACCGGCAATTATACCTATGAGTGTCAGAGATGGTTTTTACAGATTTATAGCGGAAGAAAAGAAAGAACGAAAAATAGAAAGGAAGGAGGAAGAAAGAAAAAAAATAAGGGAAGAAAGAAAGGAAAGGAGAAGACAAGAAAGACAGAATAAAAGACACAAAGAGCAAAAGAAACAAAGAAAGACATTTTGCTTACCGCATGAGGAGATGAAAATCCATATAAAATATCCAGAATGTGTCATGTTGCTCTGTTAGACGGACTCTGTCATTGTCAGCTTCCAAGCCCAGAGGAAACGTCTTCAGTTCTCCGCCCATTTGATATGTAATATCCTGGAAATTAACATCTCAAACTGACCTCCCAGGTCAGCCAAAAGAATTGTGCCATGTTTCTTTTTTTCTCCCGAGTATCTTCTATTATTTTGACACGAAAAAGTAAACACAATTACCAACATGTTTTAGTTGCATTGCAAAAACAGTCACATTAACAAACGAAGCATTCATACTGTCGTCAAAGTGGCCTCTCGGTTATTTTATTATTCAGAGTTTTTATTTTATTTTTGGGTTTTTTTATTTTATTTTCGGGGGCAGATTGAAACACAAAAGTTTCTTGGTTGAAGCATTCAGTTGTTTCATTCAGTCACATTCCTGAAATACCTTGTTATTTTGTCGCCATCTTGTGGTGTAAAGTCAAAACGCCTGACTGGCGCAATGAAGAAAAATCATGCTTGAAGAGAAACTAATAAATAAGCTGGTCAAGAAAAAAGATACTTCAGGAACTTCACAAACCAGATGTAAATAGAAAAGGCAAAATAAAAGTAATTTTGTGTTAAATTATGGATTCAGTCAGGCAGCAAAAACCACATGATGTTTTACCATGTGCTCGTTTTTTGTTTACAGTGGTATTACAAAAGACAGATAACTTTCCAAATAGTACGAAACAAAAGCTGACTGTTCTAAATTGTAGAAATGTAGACAGCAATTCCACGTAACATTCATGTGACTGAATGAAAAGCGGTTTTGTTTCCAGTTCTGACATCAGTTTGACCAGCAGGTGGCGGTAAAAAAAAAATGTTCCTGTCAACTCGGTACCTGCTTGAGTGACGTCATCTCCCCGCGCCAAATTCTAACCAAAACAAACGCAGAAAACCGTTCGGCTGCCAAGGATTCAACAAAGTTAAGCAGACGTCTGTCATGTACATGATGCTGCAACCAGACTTGGTCCAGTTTATGGCGATGGGAGGAAGTCAAACTCATAACGGCGACGAAGAAGAGGGTTTTAGACGAGCGGCGGAGTTGCAGGAGGAGGGAAACCCATTCACCTTTAATCCGCAGCTCCTCCGTCTGCACAGAGACCATGAGCTGTTTGAGGTAACAACTTCACACGGACGACAAAAAGCGTTTGTAGGAACATTAGTTACCATCTGTAATGTAAACCTTTATTAACAGGATGGAGATGTTTTCAGACACATGTATCTGCAGGACCTGTTCAGCTCAGAGGCAGAGGAGCAGCCAGCGCCCAGGTAAGCTACAGACAAAACTCTGGACAGGACAGCTGTGACAAGAAACCTCTGGTATTGATGGAAATCCTGCGTTTCACAAACTTTACCCCGTCAGTTGAACTGGTAGCAGTTTGGTTTGACTCTAGATTACTGTGAATAGTGATCAGATCAGGACAGCAGCATGATTGCTTTGAAAAATAGTGCTGCTTGGAATAGTTTTTCTTTTACTAGCTTTGGTTACTTCCAATGAACCATATTGTGTCACCATCGCTTTGCAGCCTTTCACAGGCAAATATATTATTAGAAAAAATGTTGCCAAAGAAATCAAAACTGGTGCCACAAATGTCCCCCAATACAAAATCAATGAATTAATTGCCACCAGTGCAGAGCTCGCTGGGGAATGGCAGTAGGCAAGTAAGTGAGGCAAAGACTTTTAGATGTTGGCCTAATTTCAAAAAGGGGAACAAAGGAGCAACTTCAGTAGACAATCTGAAATTTTCTTAAATTTAGCACCCATCAGACTGGGATGCTACCTCTGGAAGAAAAAGCAGCACAGGGAAGAACAGGTTGCCTTGATGGTGGCTCAAGTAGTTCTTACTCAAACTGTCTGTGATATTTTCCCTCTTCCTCCTGATCTCTTCCTCAGTTTTTCAGAGTTTGGCTGTCACATCTCTGGCTGTCGATCCGTCTTCAGCACACTGGATGAGTACGAGCACCACTACAATTCCCTGCACCGACACGTTTGCTGCTCCTGCCGCCGCTCCCTGCCCAGCGCCCGGCTCCTGGACATTCACATTCAGGAGTGGCACGACTCACTTTTCACCATCCTCGCCCAAAAACAAGACATGGTGAGCCCTGGATAATTTGTTGGCCAAAGAATTAAACAACTGATTTATTTTAAGCAATATTAAATTATCCTTTTACTTGGACCCTTGATTGTTTTCAGTATTTGTGCCTTGTGGAAGGCTGTGGACAGAAGTTTAGAACAAGTCAGCAAAGGAAGGACCACCTGATAAGACTTCACAAGTATCCACCGGACTTCAGATTTGACAAAAACAGAAAAGAAAAAGGGTAATACTGTACATCCTATAGCATGTCCACGAGATGGCGATAAAATGTTCATATGCTCACTCAGCAGGTTTCAACCATTTTTTTCTCACAGTCTAATATCAAATCAAACTAAAATGTTCCTGTATTAGGTCAGGTACGATTATTGTTTCTTGAGAGTTTGATATTTTATTTGAAATTCAGAAGTTTTCATACAATACTTAGAGTTTGGTGAAAGTACATTTTAAATTGTCAAAAACTTTGTAGCATATTTCCACAAACTTCTTTCAATAGTTTTCTGTGATTTTCAATAAATTTCTGGGATCTTTGGCCCATTTCTCCCAATAAAACTGGTCTAATCGAGTAAGGAATGCTCCAAGACTTGCTTACACACACCTGTTCAGTACAGCTCACAGAAGTTCTGTAGGAATACAGGACTAAAATGATGAAAGTTTGACTTGAACCTGAAGAGAAATATTGGCATTGAAAAATGTAACTACATTTTTTTGTCACTCATTTGTATTGGAAGTGAAACAAAAATTGATAGTGAACAAAGATTCATATAAACGCATATTTATTTTAATATATTTAAAATAGATACATTGAAATAAATAACTCATGTGAAAACTCATATGCTAACAATTTTTCACACTGACTGTTTTTTCAGTGCTCCTGCTTTTCAGTTTCACTTGTCTGTCACTGATTTGGCATCTGGGTGGCACTCGAGGGGCGGAGCTTCAGAGTCATATATCATTTCCATATATATTATATGCCATCCAGTGGAATACCAAAGAAAGATAACAAGGTTACTTACCTGTATTTTAGAGGATCTATCTGAACTGGAAGTAGCCATTGAATACGTTTTACCCTGAGAGTGACAGTAGCACTTCTGTCAGCCTCTATAATGTATGCAAATGATATGCAGTTCTGAAGCCCCGCCCATCAAGCGTCTGTAGATGCCAAAACAGGGACAGAGAATTGGAACATAAAAACAGCAGCACTGAAAAAACTGTCAGTGATATCTTGCCTGATTTTGTTAGATATTTCCATAACATCATCCAAAGGTAGCTGGATGATGTGTTGCTATTAAATACACCCAGAGGTGTGTCTCCATTTAGATTTTAAAAAATCCTAGTCAACTTAAAACAGGAAAAGTTACATCTGATGTAATATCAGTGACAAAAGAATTTCCGGTATTCCCTTATATATTATTTTAAATACAGACTCAAGAGTCATCCACATTTTTGAAATAATTCAGTGTCCTTATTTTTGAATTGATGTTTTTCTGTTAGAACCAGAGAAGCAAGCAGAGAGCAGAGGACAGACACGGCCATGGAGGCAGCAGACGATGTTTGTCGGTCGGAGGGTGTGTGTGAGGTTATGTGCAGCGTTGAGTCCACCCAGCTTGAGCAGGAGGAGTCCATGGAGACGCATGCAAGCAGTGAGGAAGCTGCTCAGACCCCAGAAACAAACACAGAGCAACTGAAACCACAATACTCCTATAGGTTAGTGTTTTTTAAAACACTAAATTGTGCAAAATTTATTTTAGGTTTGTTTGTTGAAGAGAACCTTTTTTCTGCTAAAGATAAACATTTGACCTGTATGTATTTAAGTCATATTAAAATGAGTTTTGTGAAGCATTTTCTGCAGAAAGTCTGACTGTAATTCAAAGGGTTTGTTTTGTTTTTCACAGGGTGCCTAAAACTGTGTGTTTTGGTCACGGCTCAGTCCGAGGCTTTAGAGGCCAGAGGGGCAGAAGGAAATGAAACAGCATCTGACCAACCCAATGCTGGCTCTCTGGGTTTTAGGATTAAAATGTGATGCACTTTGTTGTTGGTAATTCAATTCAATAAAAGTTCTTTTTTGCATTTTCAGATGAGATGCGAGATGATTAGCATGCTTCCTGTTGGAAAATGTGCTAAAAGGATGCAGTGAAGCTCTGCACTTTTATATTAAAGATGTGTTTGATTTAACAGAAGTGATAAGAAATTAGAAGAACATTAGCATTTTTTAATAATAAACTTTAATACAAATTGTGTTTTCAGTCTTATAAAATACACTGTCCATTAATAACTGCAAGTGGGATTGATGGATGCAAAAAAGAAACCCGGAATAATTGTACATATATTTCATAAACTAAAATGGAAGTTCTTAAATCAACTTTTTAGAAAAATAAAACATGAGGAAAACGTATGATTTCAGTTGTATTGCTGAAACAGACGGGGATTTATTGGTTATAATTTCACCTCAGAATAGCTTGTGGTTGTGTGAAATAACAGCAATTAATTAAGGAACATTTTGCTGTGAAAACCAGGAAAACACTCATAACAGTCAGCTAACAAACAAACTTTATGGAAAATCAATCAAACTCCCTTTAGATATCAATATCCCAGTCAGTTTTTCAGCTTGTTTTGCTATTTTGTATTTTTTTTTCATTATTAAATCAAGATAAAATCTAAATCCAAAACACAAGCTGTCACACATCACATAAGTGTAACACACCTGATCCAAAAGCTCCTAAGTGAGTAAATTTCTGTGTTTCTATTCTGTGTTGCATGGTTTTACTTGTAGTCTGTTTAGCAGCAGCAGCAGATTGTTTCAGGTGTGTTTAAAAACAAACAAACAGGAATTGTTCCCAAATAGTGAAAAGTAAGAAAGCAGCCCTTCTGTTTGGCATTGAGAAAGAGAAGTTATTGATTTATTAATAAGTTATTGATTTATTAATACGTTATTGATTTATTATTGATTTAAAGATTAACGTTGAAACCCTTTCAACTCAAGTGCAACTTTAATTATTCAGTCAAATATGTCAAAAGTTACAAACCTGTGACAGTATGTACTAATACCAGCTGTTCAGCTTTGTTACTTGTGTATTATTAAGTCAATTAGGTCCTCTATTATATATATAATCCTGGTGGACACACTTCTTCTGCCTGGAACTAATATTTATATTTTGGAGCAGCCAAACTCCAAAACATCCATATTTTAGAGCCAGAAGTTTGAATCTGACAGAGAAACTCAGAGGATTTACCAAAGATGAATCCTCATAAGATCAATAGAAACAACCAAGAAACTGGTCAACAGCTACAGGAAGGGTTTGACACGATGATGCCAGTACAGATTATTGAAGCGACTATAAATAATTTTCAATTAGGCATCTTTTTATAAGAGTTATATTAAATTGTTACTCCTTTTATTCTGTTTTATCGTCTAAAGTTATAATTGTCTCATTTCCAATCAGGAGGAAACTTTTTGGATGAATTGAATTGATTTTAAATAATCTGGCAAAGAGTTTGAATAATTTTGGGCCTAACAGCAGTGTTTAAAAATGTCGATCATCTTTCAAGATGCAAAAGAATCCATATCAATTTAAAATGATTCAATTTATTTAAAAAGAACAAAACTGGATCTATTGATGGCTGCAACTGGTTTGGTGTCAGATTTGTTTAGTCAACTTTTAGAGTCTTTGAATTAAGGAAAAGGAGGATGAAATGTTCTGGCCTTCACTTCTTACACAGCTTTAAAAATGAATACTTAGCACTTCCATTTCTTCAATCCACAGTTCAGTAATATTTTCACACAGTACTGGAAAGATTTGGACCCTACTTGCAAATTTTCTTTTCGTTTTATTCTTGAAATTAAACTACATTGGTCGTGGTGCCTTTAAATAGTTTATGAGCCATAAAGCACATCTACACTGAGGAGTCAGTTTTAGTCACTCTGTTTCAGGGTTACTTCCATGTCATTTGTTAATCATAACGAGGGCAAATAAGACAGCGAAGTTTTTTCAAAAGAAGGAAACGTGGTACTTTGTTACGGCCTCAGGAAAAAAAAAAAACATTTTCTAAAGCTCTGCAACGTCGAAACATGCGAGTCTGAATACCTTTCAAAAATATTCTCAATCCAGAACAAGTTGGCCTTTCAAAATAAAAAAGAAGTTACTGCATCTAATGGAATTAAACTGTAGTAAGTTTACAATACAGCGGAGTGCGATTTGATTTTTATCTTTTGCGTAAAATGTGCGCAAAAGTCCACTAAGAAAAACAAGTTTGCTGGCCTAAAAATAATTCATCTTTTTATAAACGTCATCTGGGCTGATCTCTTTAAAATCAATTACTCCATCAAATTTGTCAAAGAAATAAAATTGTTTGTAAAAAAATATATATATGTGTGTGTGTGTGTGTGTGTGTGTGTGTGTGTAAAAATATTTCTTACACCAACTACAACGATATAAATGTCATTGAACTTACAAGAACTGTAAAAAAAAAGAAGAAGAAGAAAAGAAAAAGAAAAACCCAGATTTATCGGGAGGGATGTTTTTTGTGACATTTGTTATTTTCTTTCTAAAAACGTATTTGATCACCGCTTTTCCAACGCAGCGCTCCTGGATATTAGTTAAGACAAGTAATACATCCCGTAAGGCCTGCTGAGGAGTCCGGGGACGGGGAAAGCAGGCCGAGCTCCGTACAGAGGCGCTGCGCCCAGGGGCGCGCTCAGCGGGAAGGGGAAGGCGAACGCCGGCAGCAGCGGCTTTGCGGCCAGCTTGATCTTCTCCAGCTCGGCCTCCTGCAGTCTCTTGGCTTTGGCTCGGCGGTTCTGAAACCAGATTTTGACCTGGGTCTCTGTGAGGTTCAGGGAGCTGGAGAACTCTGCTCTCTCCGCGATGGACAGGTACTGTTTCTGACGGAACTTCCTCTCCAGAGAGAGCAGCTGGGACGTGGTGAAGGGGGTCCTGGGTTTCCTGTTGTTCTTGTGTTTCCGCAGGTTGCACGTAGTTGGGCTGGGGATTCCTGGAAGCAGATTGAGCAAGTGAGAAACTGCATGCTCGTTGTGGCAGCTGCGTTCAAGATGAATCATGGTCTGTTTGGTTTTTCCATATAGACAAAACTAATGTTTTTTTGTTGTTGTTGTTTATAATGTAATGTGAGCAAACGGCAAAATCTGCAATCACATTTTGTAGATTTTAAACCGTAGCCTATCAGTGGCCTGCCAATATGTGAGTGTGGCCCCACTTATGATTTTTTTTTTCAGGTAAAGCTTGAGTACAGAGTTGTTCTGCACCAAAAATACACAAAATGTAAAATAACATGAGTCCAGTAACATTTGGCGCACAATATCAAGCCAATTTACGTCTCATGTTTCCTTTTTTTATGGTTACTTGTACTGAGCCGAAAACGTCAAAAGGAAATAAAAACTTTCTTGAAGACAGAAAACGTGACATTTTGTTTTGAATCTCTTCTGAGACCAGTATCACTATAATTGATTATAAAATCGTAAAGTATGTATGACAGTAAATATCTCTAGAGTTCCATTTAGACATTTTTTTAATTGTCCAGTGATTTTGGTGAAGTATCACCAAAATGCATAATTTGTGTAATAATGTTGACACAAATTATTATTAATAGTAGTAACAATAATGATAATATCTCCATCTCACTTGTGTGTGCATGGTATGGATCCTGGAGCCAGGTCCTCTCCTTGTCACTAAGGTCCACCGCCTCCAGTTTGGACCCACAGATCCCTCTCGGTGACGCACACTCGGTCTCCTCCGTGCGGGCGCAGCCTGACTTAAGGTCAGAGGAGCGGGAGCTGCTGCCCGGAGACGTCCTGTCCGATATGAGGGATTCCACACTGAAAGGCAGCTCGAAACCTTTGGTTTTACAGCTCCTTCTGGGTGCCATGTCCGGCTCCTCGGCTCCAGTTTCTCCAGTGGCTTTATCCTGACGCGATGTGTCCAAGGCCGGTGATCCTTGCGCAGGATTCATTACGCACGACTGCGGTGCCATGCAACCACCTTCCCCCGCCGTTCTTCCCCGCTGCTTTTTTAATGTTTGCGTGTGTTCACTTGATGAAGATCAGTATCATCATCGCTGTGGTTCCGCTGACGCTGCGCATCGGCTGGCAAGCCGAGTTTTACGCACAGGCTCGCATTTTCTTCAGTGAAGAGCCAGAAGTTTCTCTCGCATCTCACCGCGGACGAATCAGACATTAAGAGTCTTCCACGTGACCCCGCTGGTGCGCGCTCTGATAGGACAGATGAATGATGAGGTTGGCTTACTGATGATGGTGGGCATTGACAGTTGTAAACTTGTAAACGACGGCAGATAACTAATTCAAGGAACGTGGCGCAGATGTAAACTTTCCATGATTTACTAGAGACCTAAGCAGCTCAGACCTGCAGTTTTTATTGTGCGTCTTATTTTTGTTTTTATTCTTTGAGATCACAGCGCTTTGTGATCTCATTTCTGTGAAAATGATTTTTTTAAGTAATCTTTACTGACTTTTATTTTTCTCCACTTTTTGGTGGTCAAATATTCCTGGACGAAATCCAGTTTGCATTATATTAACAAAAGTAGACATTGTGAAGGCAGGGCTGTTTCTCTTGACTTACTTATTTGTTTCTGGAGTTTAACATTTAAGAGAGTGGCTTAACCCATGAAATGGATTTTTATTTTTTTATTTTTTATTTTTTTCAGCGCAACTTGATTTGCCAGAATGTTTTACTTTACTTTGGCAGTCAGTTGTGAGCGTTTCAGACCTGCGTGGGGTCCAAAGTCGGGCTGTTTACATAAACCAATGCAACAATTATGGTTTGAAAGCCTATTAAATTCACTCGAAACTGCATGAAAACAACAACTGTTTAATTAACTGCGCCGATCCGCAGTGCGTGCGCATGCAGTAAACTAACAGAATGTTAACTCAAGTCTTCACTCTACAGTGAGCGCTGAAGATGCCAATAGAACCACACCGTCTGCAAAAAGCAAATATGAGAATGTCTGAAACCAAACATCCTTCTCTGAGGATGTTTGGTTCTAAAAGGATCTAAACCTTTAGATCCTGTCCACAAACACCACAAGCAATAGGCAGCCCTTTCTCAGTTATTCAAAATAAAATAATCTGATGAGTTTGTGTAGAGCTCTTGTTTAAACTGTTTAAATCTGAGCTGTAGAGCATAAAGTAGTGACATAGCTTGTTGAAAGCTGTTGTAGAACACAGTGGTCCTGGTTCATTAAAGCAGCATAGCTGTTCAAGCTGTGATTTACGGCTCTCAATGTATTTCCAAGAGTGATTGTCACTGTAAATTTTCATATTGTGGCCTCTAATTTAATTGCCTATGCCCATATATTCAGCCTGTTGTGCTCATTGTCTGCAGCCCCCTTTGAGAGTCTCTAAAGGGCCTTATTGAAGAGGCTCGTCCAAATTAGTTTTGTTCTGGAGCTCCTCGCATCAAGTCCAATAACTCCCATTGAAACCAAATATGTGAGGCTTTTTGACACTGCTGCCGGACAGGCCTGAAGCAACACACTGACTTTCTGTCTGTCTCCGTCTTATAGGACAATTGGTTAAATGGAGTTAACCGTTTCCCTCCCTGAGGTATGTTCCTGCTTTGATCCTGCTGTGCCTGGCGCCTGTCTGCTCAGGCTCCCCCCTCTCGCTCTTTGTGTGACAGTGATAGATTGCTGGGTAACCATACAAGCTTTGAATGACTGTAATTTAGGGCAACATTACATTCTCATCTACTTACAGCCAATATTATCACTCTGAGATGAAAGAAGGTGCATGGCTGTCTATAGTCTTTTTCTTTTTCTTCTATTGTTGGAAAAAAAATGGGTATTTTTATTTCTTTGCTGACATTTTACATTCAGACATCTTCAGCATTGATTGCCTGTGTAGTTTTATAATATGTTTCCTTATGTTTGTTATTAAGAGTACAATACCCTTTTGATTTTGCAGTTTATTTGTGATTGTTCTCTTACATCCTATTTCCTGCTTTTATGCAAAAAGTCCAAAACGTTTCTTCCCTTTGCATAAAAACGTCAACACACTCCTAAACCTATCAGCCTTGCCCCAAAGGAGAAAAGCTTAAGAGTTAATTGAGGTTTTCAAAAATGCATTTTCTTTCCAAGCAGGCATGTTGAAGCAGGTTCTATATGTTTCGGTTTACAGATCTTTGACTTCTAAACCTGTATTAAAAGCATCCAGTAATATGTGAAGGTGGTTGAATTTTATTAAAATGACTTTTCTTCCACTTATCAACTATGAATTAGGTTGCAAAAAACAACACATACCATCTATTACAAATGTAAAGACAAATATTACAAAATATCACTAAAAAATATTTTTCGCACAATACATGTTATTAGTTATGGTCCACACACAACCATAGGGAAGGCTGCTGATGTATCTATTAGTCCAGCAGATAGTCACAGGTTCCCCCGCAAGGAAGCTAAGCTACTAAAACTCATTGTTAAAGAAACTAGCTGTTCACAGACTGCTGTGCTGAAAAAGATTAATGGAAAATTGAATGGGAGGAAAAGCTGTTGAAGAAATATGTCTCACTCTTCCTTTCTTCTGTCATTTAAAAAACTGACAAGAATCACATGACAACTTTCCTGGAACAAACTGGGGTCATGCTTTGTGCTAAGCATACTGGTTTCCACTTCTTGCATTCGTCTCGTAGGTTTGAAAGATTGATGCGGTGTTGCACAGGCTCCAAGAATATTAAAGTGAAGCAGGTCTTGCCTCCCGTTCAGTTTCTCTCAGGCCAATCAGCCAGAGAACAATTGGCGACCCTGAAGCCTCCCCTGTGATGTTCCTCCTTATCTGAAGGAAAAGTTGAAGGAAACTACATCAACATGTCAGTTTCAGTTGCTATTAACTCTGACTTCACTCAGGTTCGTCTAACCTGGTGAACCATTATGACAAAGATGCTATTTAACCTTCCTCTCTTGGTTATCATGGCGTACATTTGTCAAACTGTCACAGACAAATATTACAAAATATCACTAAAAAATATTTTTAGCACAAAAGTATGTGCCACGTTGTTTTCATGGTACAGAGTACACTGCCTTGTGAAGTTCTTCATACCACTTGAAAGTTAGCACATAGTCTCACAATACAAACGCAAAGCTGAATTTATATTATTTGGACTTTGTGAGATAAACCAACACAAAATAATTCATAGTTGATAAGTGGAAGAAAAAATTAGAAATAATGACTGTTTTTATATCTATGTATCAATCTGATTCAATCTCTTTTAATGTAACATTCCTAAATGAACAAAGACAAACCTACTGATGTCTGGCAATCAACATAAACTGTCAGGCTGAGCAAAGAGCAGGAATCTGAGAAACAGTCAAGGGGTTAAAAGTAGCTCTGGAGGAGTTGCACAGATCCAGAGCTCAGGTGGATAGCATAACTTATAAGGTTTTGCCACAAGAGAGCACAGCAAACATGCTGAAGATTCACCCAAAGTTGACATGGCCTGCATGCAATGTGTGACATAAAAGCAAGTGTAAAACATCACCATCAACACATTCGGAAACATGATGTTGGTTTGGTTTCCCTCTGCAGGGAGAGAGAAATCAGGGAGAATCGATGGGATCAGATCAGAATTTGTTGAAGTCTGCTGACGTAGGAGGCGGTAACTCACCCAGAGTGCTACTCATGCAAGTAACGCCACTGCAATGGAGACTCGCATGGCAGATAAGGCTTGAAATTATTGTAATTAGCTGACAGGCTGCTGATTGGTTAAGTGCTTTTCATTTACCTACTATATGTTAGCATGACTTTTAGAGAACAGTGCTGACAGGTGAGCTGAGAGTGGTTTATTGTCCCTCTGTGTGTTTTGTATGTCTTAGTTTGGATTTGGTTACAAACGGGTGAGTTCCACATGGCGTCTGATGGAGATGAGCTTGCTCTGACAGACGGGGAACACTGCACTGAGCCTTGCCCATGGTGCCAGGCGCTAACAGACAAGTGCAGATACATGGATGGCATATTGTTGTGGTTTGGGAGAAAATGGATTAGGACAAAGGGAATCGGACACCCTCTCTGGACTCAGAGAGAGATGGGTGTTATAGCGAGCTCAGTGATGGTGCTGACAGCAAGGGAGTCATTATACTCCCTGCGCTCTGTGATAATGATGATGAGGAGGATGATGATGTTGGAAAATAACCCAGGAAGACAGGTTGGGAATGCTGGGTTATGATGCAGCACTGATCATGCTGATTTAGTTCCCATTTGAATGAAAGTCGTAGCAAAGAGAGCAGGAAATGATGATGGATTCACAGAGACAAGAGAAAGTTGAAAACTGTCTCATGATGATATACTTAGATTGAACAAATTTAGCTAAAGAAGTCTAGATACTTTAGACCTTTTAGAGTTATATTTAGTGATATAATGTTCTGGTAATGTAACAGGTTTTTCAGCGACTTAATTGTTAAGACCCTGCTATATTTTTGTGCTAAATGTTGCCACAAGAGAGCACAGATCTGAATTTACTTGAGAATATGTGAAAAAACTTGAAAGGGGATTCTCAAAAATGCTCTCCGTGTAATCAGATTGAACTTGAACTATTTTTATAAATAATATCGAGCAAAAATATAATTATTTTGATTAGCAAAGCTGTTGCTTCTGCAGAGAAAGGCTAGTGCTGCAAAATATTAGTGTATGCAAACTTTTTAGAAGATTTTGAAGATCACTTTTGCTCAACTTCACAATTAACTTGGCGTTACTCTATCAAATTCAATTCCAACAAAATGCATCAAAGTTTCTTTTTGCAACATCATAAAATGGGGAAGAAGTAGTGTGGATACTTTTACATGGGTTTAAAGGCTGATTCAGTCCTAAAAACTAGTTTCAAAAACAAGTTCAGTTTGGCACCACAGGAACTGCTGTGAGGAAGGATCACAAATTTGTAATGCATCAACTTACTTCACCTACGGTGTACATTTATTATTTTTTTCAAAGTCACATGTATAAATGTTACACAGGAGAACCTCTAAAATGTGTGCCAGTACTCAGCACCAAGATCTAAGATCCTGAGTGTTATTTGCTAAACACTGCAAATAAATAGGTCATTAATAGCCATAAATTATTTGACTACACTT